CCTGGCCCCTACAGCCCGGCCCCGCCCTCCACGACCTGGTCCCGCCTTCCATGATTAGGTCCCGCCCTCCATATTCAGGCTCCTCCCTCCACGACCAGGCCTCACCTTCCAAGGCCAGGCCCCGCCCTCTACATCCAGGCCCCGCCTTTCATTGCCAAGTCCCGCCTTCCATGGCCAGACCGCGCACGTTACAGCCAGGACACGCCCATCCCTCCTTCTGTCCTATGCCTGGCCCAGAAAGCTCCACTATTGACAGTGTTGATTCATCTAAAACCAAACAAAAAACCGAGTGCCTGTGGACCTCCAAAAAAAGCATGAAAGAAGAAAACCAAACTCCTGCAGGGACTTAGAGTATCAGATCAAATGGCGATTGGCTTTGGAGATCCCTGCCAGAAGACTTGCAGCAATGTGTAGCAGGGCCCTGTCCCAGGAACCCTAAGAGACTTCTATAAGTTTTGGGGTGCTTTGTTAGGGACCCCTATGTCTCCAGAGCTGTCTGAGTATTCTCAGGCGAGCTGGGCCCTAGTCAACGAACCTAGTCTGCCAATGGCACTTGGGTTAGCCATTCCATTTCCTTATATGTCAAATTATGGCATTTAAGTAGACAGTCTAGTAAACAAACGGTTTTAAAGACTGAAGTTGTATGATTTTAGTAAGTATAAAAACAAAAACAAACCTCTCCCGCTCTTGCTTCTATGCAAATGATTGCTCGGGGAATATTCTCAAGGCAGTGACCACCATGAATACTAGCGTAAGCAGGTCAGAGGCTAGTTGCATAAGGCCCTCGTGTGTCTGGGTAAAATGTGGTGGTGCCAAGAGGCAGCTCTGGTGTCTGTTCCACTCTGGTTGTTTTTTCTTCGCAGGGTTGTTTTGGCAGACTACTTGGACTTAGGTTTTTTTTCATCTGTTTAGCAGCCAATCACAATAATACATGTTTCCTAAAACTGTGAGGATTAAATGCAATTTTAAAAAGTCATTTTATTCGAATTAATTCAGAAATAGAAATATGGAGTGTAGGCAAAGGGACACATGACACAGAAAAGAACATCTAAAGCCCCCATCCCGCCTTTTTTTAGTTTCAACTCCATCATAGTTGGTTGTTGTTGTTTTTTTTTAATTTTTTCCCTTTCATGATGGATAAGTGAATTCAACTTCCTTGGTATTGAAGTAGCAAGAACCACAAGAAGAGAGAAAGAAAAAAGATTTCTTGTGAAAGCAAAATCCTAAGCAAAGCCCCACGGCTTCAGAATGGCCACTCTGCCTGCATCAAGGCCAGCCTTTTCACCCCCTAGTACCTTATATTCACCAAACAGAACTGTGTAAAATGAAAACATGTGGGGGGATCTTTTTCGTGTTCAGTACCAACCTTCCTTGAGGAGAAGGTGTGTTGGTTGGGTCAGCAGCCTCTCACTAGTCATCTCTCTTCCCAGTTAGCAGGGCAAGCACTTGTGTGAAGACTATCTACATGTGAATCTGGTTAAAGCGTCCCTAGCACGTGGGGTTGTCGTGCTATTTGTCACACCAGTGTGAGCACCCAACTTAGGAGTGTGAGTATAGAGATGCAACAGAGGTCTCTCCTAGGAGACTTGAAGCATGGGGACCTCCAGCAAATGGTAACATGCACAGCACTGCTAAATTTCTAAGGTAAGACTCAAGCTCTTCAAAGTACTAATAAATATAAATGGGCGTCTCATTAAATGTTAGAGAACAATGATGCCAGTTAGCTTTGGCACTAGTAGTTCAAACCCATGGTCTACTGCGTTCCCACACTATACTTGACATTTCATCAATGGTTACTGAGAAGTTCCCAGGAGCCATGTATGACATCTGTGTATGGTCCTAGCACTCAGGAAACTGAGGCAGAAGAATAATAATCTCAAGGCCTGCCTGGACTACATAGTAAGTTCCAGGTCAGCCTGGCATACATACCGAGAGCCTGTCTCAAACAAAAAGAAAGTTCACAGACCTAGGGGCTTTTGGAATGTGCCCTCTAGACTGGTCATGCTAGGGCTTGGATTTTCCTGTGGTCACTTTAAATTGGATGATTGGGACCATGACAGAAAGAAGGAGACTTCATCTATAGTTTCTGGAATCTCAGTGCCAAACACAGGGTCTAAGTGGACTTGTGAGTGGGTGAATTATTGCAAAGTCTCCACAAAGAGAACTCTGTGTCCCCATTAAGCAAATTTGGAGCCACCCCACTTCTTAGCACACTAAGATAGACCCAATCCTAGCTACTTCAAGCGTTTTCCTTGTTTTCCCCTTCTTTGCTAACCCCACAGATGCTGGGTTTCTGTCTGGCTTGTGTTTGCTGTCTTCCCTTTATCTTCCTTCCTTCCTGATCACACCACAGGCAGAGCCATGTGCCTACTTTCTCAGTGGTGCATGCACTGGGCAGTGGGTGTGTCTTTCAGTCCTTCAGCTGAACCTTTGAATCCTCCCCAAACCTATGGTTAGGCTCACCTGTTTCCAGAGGGAACGGGAAATGCAGAGAAGAAAATGCTGAGGATACTCTAGGTTGTGTTGGTTATCTTTTATCAACTTGATACAAGTAAATGAATTTACTTGTATCCCAAGAGGAAACCTCAACTGAAGAGTCACATCCATCAGATGGGTCTGTGGGCAAATCTATGAGGGCATTTTTTTAAATTAATCACTGATATGAAAATGCCCAGACCACTGTGGGTGGTACCACTCTTGAACAAGTGATTTGGGGGT